GACTCGTTCATGCAGTCGGCCTCAAGTGGACGTTTGTGGAACTGCGGTTTTTGGCTTCATTTTCCAGCAGCTTGTTCCTGAGACAAACATTCTTTTCATGCTGTGTGAAATAGAAAGTAGACCTGAGCGGGGAATTCTGCCGTCTAATTTTCTGCACCACTTCTGAGAATCAGGAAGCGTATTAATCACACAGCTCCATGTTCCTGGAAGCTCAAACTATCACTTTCTCTTAAGCCTGATCTGCAGGTTTCCAGCCGTCGGAGGCGCTGAGCCGTGTGTGAACGCGCTCACGTATGCAGCCCGGTCACATGGTGTTGAACAGTGAATGTTATCGGAGCTCATTATCGGGGCAAGCCGTGAAGGTTAATTCCTGGATAATTTATGTAAGATTGGTGGAGAGGTCAGCTGTGATAACCCGGACAGAAGCACCTTGCAGCGCAAATCACTCCCTTCCACAGACTCGGCAGCCGCCAGAGATTCTTCCAGGAGGGAGAGTACCAGGCAGAAAGGACGAGAGGGAACAGAAAAGAAGAATGTGTAATTTGGCGCCAGGTGATAAAAGACTGTGGCAGTCGGCCATTAGGCTTTTGGCAATGGAAGGCCTCGGTTACATTATACAGTTAAACAATGTGACTTTCATCCTCGCACACACTCACACACACTGTTCTGTACATAGAGGGAAATCATTCATTACCCGGCTGGAAGAGACACAAAGACACACAAAGCTAACACAACGAGACAAAAAAACGACCACAAAGACACACAAAGCTAACACAAGGAGACAAAAAACAACCAAGAAAGGCATAAAACGACCACAAAGAGACACAAAGACACACAAAGCTAACACAAAGAGACACAAAACAACCACAAAAACACACAAAACGACCACAAAGAGACGAAAAGCAACCACAACAAAACACAAGTCAACCACAAAGCCACACAAACAATAAAAGAAACACAAAACAATCACAAAAAGACACAAATTAATCACAAAGAGACGCAAAACAACCACAAAGAGACACAGAGTGATCACAATGTCACAAAACGACCACACAGAAACAAAAACAATCACAAAAAGACATAAATAAAACAAAAAAGTAACAAATTAACCGCAAAGAGACTCACAACGACCACAGAGAGGCAAAAAAACAAAGTAACAAAAAATAATCACGAAGAGACATAAATGAAACACAAAGTAACAAAAGAGACACAAAATGATCAGAAAAAGACACAAATTAACCAGAAAGAAACAAAAAACAACAACAATAAGAGACAAAACAACAAAATGACCTCAAAGAGACACAAATCAATCTGTCGGAAGTTTTTAGTTACAAAAACATTTGTTGAAGTTTTCAGAGAAAATTTCTTTTTTCATTTCCTAAAAATGTTTCGGGATAAAGTTTCTTTTCCATAAAGACCGTCTAAAGATGTTTGTATGGAATGTTCCTTAAACGTTGCACTGAGAACGTCACTTCTTTGTCATCATTTTGAGAATGTTTCCTCAACAGCGTCCCCAGAACTTCCTCAACACCAACGCTGACATTTGCCATGACAGGAACACTTTTTAAAAAACCGTCTAGTTTGAGGACCGTCTTCCTGTTTTACATCGAATCATCTGAAATGATCAATATGATAAAACATTCTTCAAACATTAGATTTAAGCTCTTTTTTTAAACATGATTAGGACTCGTAGCTGATGTCAGGCAGCTTTACGGTGCAGGAACTTTTCTGCTTCCATTGTGGCGTCGGATCAACTTCGAATGCAACCGAACAAACAAGTGGGTGGACGTGACTCCGGTTCTGTGGAGGAAGTAGAACAATAGAGGTTTGTTTTGAGTTTAACCAATCAGCTGCAGAATGGTCTGACTGTACCTCGTTATCGGATGCAACGTTTCAGACACGTGTTTGGTTTGTTCTCTAATTTCTAGTTGCGTTTAAACTGGTGTTGAAGGTGGCAGGGTTCAGTTTAAAGGCCGCCACAGCGAGCAGCGAGTGTGGAAAACCACTCGTGCAGTCGCATTAAAATCAGACCGGCGGCGGAAAAAAAGGCCAAATTAAAGCGACTCCGGCCTGGTTCCTGCTCACGCTGACAGGAGTCGCCACCGTTCCCAGCAGGGAGGCTGTTTACTGTCCCGAAGGATTCATTAAGAGCCGGTGTGAAGTCAGCACTGATGCCCCGTCGCCTCGCCCACTCCAGTGCACTCGCACCGACGGCCTGAGTCAGCAGAAACAGGAGCTCGGTGACACCGCTAATGAACCCAAGTGTTATTCTTCAATTTGCCCGGGCCGAGGAACTCCTCTCGCTCCGGTTACGCGCCGGCCGAGGCCTTCCCTTTTCCCTAAAAGCTGTCTTTCTCCTTATCTATCACTCACTCTGCGGCTCTGCTTTCCTGCTGCATCATGCCTGGACTCTCTGAAGTCTCATTGTCTCGCTGGGTTTCGATAAGCTATGAGCCGCAGCAGGCCGGCGTAGAGAGGAAGCACATAGCTGCCACCTTATGTCATTACACACTTATCAGCTCTTTCCATTTCCCGACTGTCCATCAATCTGTCAGTGTCTGCTGGAGGTAGACACAACACCGGCGCTGCAGTGAGCCGCTGCTCCAGGAGAGGGCGTCGCTACTGTGTGCAGATGGAGCTGCACACATGGAAGTGTGAAGGAAGACTAGCAAGACGGGGAACGTTTGAGTGGAAATAAAGCCGTCTGGAGATGAGAAACATGGCTTATTTGACACTCAAACCTTTAAAGTTCTTTGGATTTTCCGTTTTTCTTAATGTTTTTAATATTTCAGAAGTAAATTAAATCAAGTTGAAGCCTTTGAACTCACTCAGGTGTCCACGTTGGAGGCTGAATCTAAAACTCTTCGCAGTGTCTTTAATTCATTTATGTTTCTCTACATAGCTTTGATTTAAAAGCAGTCGCTGCTTTAGGGTCACTTTTACTTATTCAGCTCATTTAAAGCAGACTTTGAGCCAAAGTTCTGTATAAATGAGTAACAACCAAGTCTAAAAACACAGTTCAAATAATATTTTATATATATTATAAATATTATATATGATATAGATTTACTAATTTATCTGTAATATCGTTTAATTGACTGACTTGATATTAAGGTTTAGATGTTATAATATTAGCAGACAGGTGTACCTGACTGACCTCAAGATTAATGTAAAAAGGTGTTTTATCAGAAAATAAAATCGACTTAATTAAATAAGATTCTGATTTCGATGAACCTGCGAGTTACAAATGTTGCGTCAACTTAATATTTTGTGTGATTTCAACTCAAGTTTCTGCATCAGCTCATTTTTATAAATATCAAGTTGAGGTAACTTAATAAATTTGTCTTTACAGTAAATTCTTTATCTCAAGTTCAGGATTCTAATATATTTATATTTATACACTGTAAAATAAAAAAATAAAATAAAATGATGAAAATCTGGAAGCAAGTGTGATGGAGAAAAAAATTCTTTCAACTTGTAAATTAATATTTTTTTTCCAACAAATAAGGGATTAAAAAAAAAACATTTACTATTATATGTTATTTACCACCTTAATATACATATTTTTTCTTTACAATATGAGCTAATATCTATAATTCTTTTTTATTTTCACAAAAATTTATTGAAATAATAAAAATGTGTCATTTTGCAGCTAAATCTTGTAAAAGAAATTAATTACTTTTTGTTATTTTCTGTAATTTAACAAAACAGGGAACGGTGTGCTAATTAGCATTTCTACGAATGATTTACCAACTTGTAATATACAGATTTTTTTCTTTCAAATAACAGCAAATATCTGTAAAATAATACTTTGTTCTGGTTTAAACACAACGACGAGGTGTGATTTCACATTTAAACACAGATGATGTTTATAAGAACAGATTAATGTGTAAATTAACACTTTCTTCTATGATTTTACCGGATATTTTCTGTAGTTTAACAAAAACAGAGAAAATCTGTCAGACAACAGTCAGTTCTCTGCAAAGTGACAGTTAACATAGTTCATGTTTTACAGTGTATTTCAGGTGAAGGTGCAGATTTCTCCTCCATCACTGATGTTCTCACAGCCTGAACCAGAGGAGGCTGCCTGTCTGCTGGCTTTCTGCTCACCAACATCTTTTTTATCATCAGCATCGAGACGATCGCGGCGGTTTTAAGGAGAATCCATCCGGAACCGTCCAGGTGGCTCCGGACAGAACACCCTTTCTGCGACCAGCCGACGGGCAGGAAGTCACGACGCGCAGACTCACCCCCCCACCCCCACTTCTCCGCTACGGAGTGCGTGCGTGCAGCGGCGCAGCGAGATGCGGTGAGCAGAACTCCTGACTGGCTGCGCGGATCCCACGCGGAGACGCGGCTACGTGTCCGGACACACACTCTCTGGCAAGTTTCCTCCTTTCATGGAGATCGGAAACTGTTCGCGCCGGTAACGGCAGCTGGACGCGGGGAAGCTCTGCGCACATCTAACCGTGAAAACATGCACAAGTGGAAGCAGAAATGACGCATCTGAAGCGCACATTTGTGCGTAATTTCTTCCAAACCGAGTGGCCAAAAGCAGGGCATCTTTTCCCATCTGTACTTGACATGATTTAAAAAACACTCTGATGGATTTTATTGTTTTATTATTTCAGGGTGATTCTTCTTCTCGTTTTTTTTTAAATTTTCTCACATGAGTAAATATTAATAGCTGCGTTTTTAATAGCTCGCAGTTGCGGTCACATGAGTGTAATAGGTGAAACTCTCTGTGAGCAACTTCAGAGGATCGCAGTGCCGTTTGTCAGCCCATAGAGGACACACCTACCCCGCTCTAATCATCCACCAATCATCCACGTCTCCGAACCGCTCAGAGCCACAGTCACGGAGGGACCGAGCCAGGAGAAGGACGCGTCCTGACAGAGCGCTGACCTGCTTTAGTGCGCAGCGACACGGGAGTCAAGAACAGAAAAGAAAACCCGGACAAAGTTGTTGTTGTTTTGTTTTTGTTTTTTGTTTTTTTGGTTGCGCGCTGCGATTATCTTTCTTTCCACCGAGCGTCACCGCGGTTCGAGTTGCACGTCGAGGAGTAGTTCTCAGATGGACAGACACTTGGAGAGCTCCGCGGGCATGGGATTATTTTTGTAATGTGGATTTGTATCCCGTCGCAGGAGAATCGAGATCTGCTGCGGAACGATGTGAGAGCGTCTTGGATTCTCGTGTTTCTGGATATCTTGAAGATCATTGGCAACAGTTGAGAGAGAAACAGAAGTTTTAACGCGCAGAGGATTTTACGCTCCAGCCTTTCGGGACCAGCATGGATTTGCCTTTACGACCTCCGGCCCCTTACTTACAGAAGTTGTAGCCACTTGTGTTGGGTTTTTTTTTTCTTTGTGTGTGTGTGTTTTGTTTTTTTTTCCTTCTTGTGAAACTTCATATTTGAGAGCAAACCGCCACATTTGGCCTCCTGTCTTTTACACCGTCGCCTGCCTTCGGATTGGATTTCCAACACCATGAACTTTATTGACAGTTTGACACTATTATTTTTGACGCTGTCAGCTGTCAAGGTGAGTGAGCTGGATTCTTAAGAAAAACACACACATAGAAATATCAGCCGACCTCTGTGCTGTTAGTTGCTGGTCATTAATGTGTAGCTTGTCCTTGTCTGCGCTCTAGGTCACCGCTCGTGTTTAAACTGGCTCAAATGTTTGGGGAGCTTTAAACGGCCATTACGCAAAGCTGACACCGACCAAACCGAACCCGCACACCGGCTCCTGCCGCCCTTTTCCACCTCTGAAGTGCCGATTTTAAATAATAATAATAATAATAATGTTGTGGTGAAGTTTGCCCCTGGCTGATCGGGCCCTGCTCTAAAAAACCACCTTGGAGATATTATTACGCTTTAAAGGCGCAGTTCTGAATTAGGACATGTGAGCAGGTTTCCCAGCCGGCACCGACACTTCTTCTTCTTCTTCTTCTCCTCCTGCTGCTGCTGCTGGATTCAGGAGTTTCTCCAGCACCGGTTCTCAGATTAATCACTCTGAAGGGGGCAGATTTTAACGGCCGGACTGTAAATCGCTTTTCTATATAATCATTAATCAGGCGCTGTGAGCAAAGGTGGAAAAAAAAAAAAAAAAAACAGCCAGGAGGAGGCTGCGTGTTTCCCTGCAACGTGATTGGACCGGGCTCGGTTTGTTTCCAGCCACTTTTCAGCATCTTAACCCCCCAAAGTAGCGCAGCTCGCAGCTCCACACTGTTTATTTGGGGAAGCGGCTGGTTTTCGGTGACGCCTCCAGCCGCCGGAGATGCTGCCCCGGGCGGCTCGTTATCACCGCCGGGGCCGCTCACGCCACATTATCCGGTGTTGTGGAGGGTCTGCAGGGTCTCTCTCTCTCTCTCTCTTGCTCTCTCTCTCTCTCTCAGCCCACAAGGTTGGACCCTCTCACGCCACCAGAAGTGGGAGGAGCCTGCGCAACCTCCTTCTACTTTTCATTAAGGAATCTTCCTCATTCAGCGCATGCACCGGCAGCAACAGGCGCAAGATCTCATGCAATATTGGCGAGATATTGCGCGAGTTGTGCGTGTGTGGAAATGGAGAGAGCGGGAGGAGGAGGAGGAGGGGGAGGAGGGGGGAGTTGGTGCGTAACGAACGGATGGAAAGTTGCCAAAAAAATCTCTTTGTGGGCCGACTGGTGCGGTGACAGCAGCCCCCCGAGAGGAGGCTGAATTCTTACCGGTTTTAATGGCAGCGCGTATTAATCCGTGTTGCCGGGAGGCCGCGCGCCGGCTGCAAATTACTTCATAAAGTTCGTTTTTGTTGCCACGTAGCTGATAGTGAGCGCAGCTCGTTTGACGCACAAAATAAATCTCCACAAATATATTAAAAACCCACATTATTTCTGCTGCAGACTTGTGAACATTTGCCCTCTTTTCTGCGCCAAACCGAGATAAGATAGCGGCGTGCGCGCGCTGGCAGCCGTCAACAGAAATGTCAAAAAGCAAATATATCGTTTTTGCACAACTGTGGATAAGTAAAGGGCAGGAGCAGGGGTTCTACTTTTTATTTTTCTTGCACAATCTGCTGTGACTAACATGGAGTCTTTTCTCTCTCTTCTTGTTCCTTGTGCCTGCAGAGCGCCCACATACCGAAGGAAACAGAACGAGGTCCACATGACGGTAGGTGTCCCGCCGGGCACCGTGGGAATACAGTGCACCGGGCTCCCTGGCTGGCCCGCGGCCAAACGCTCTGAGTTTCACCTTGACATTAGAGGGGAATTAGCGCCTCCTAGCGGACGCATGTGCGGCCTTTAAGTCTCATCCATCCTCGGCAGCATTCCTTCTTATTTGAGGTTAAGCTGCTGGAAACGTTATGGACTCTTTTATAGAAAGGAATGTCACCCTCTTGGCCCACAATTTTGCACAATCGCAGCGTTGCCAAATCTAATTTGGACAATCAGAAGCTGAACTTGCTGAAACCGTTCGGGGGGCCGTTGTGTTTGGTTTGGCCTCCCAGAGGAGCGTCGGTCTGGGTCGGTTCTGGGCCCAGACCGGCTCGGACTGATGTCCTGGAGGTGTCTGAGCTAATATCTTTCTCAAGAGCAGGACTCCTGCAAAGCCCGAGAGGGGCCCAGTAGACTGAAGGTGAAACAGCAGAGAGCAGCTTTACTCTAAAAAGACATTAAAGTTATCAGCAAAATGACAAAAACAGGCTTTAAACTAACACCTCCGATGGAAAAGAACAGAATAAATAGAGTTTTATGTAAAGTTAAACCATTTATTTTGTTTTTTAACAACTTGTCAAACATACAGTTTACATGAAAACTTGTAAAAGTCGTATTTCATTTAGCACATTAGAAGAAGAATGAAGTAGATTCTTACAATTTCCAACAATATTAATATTTTATACACAGAATTCTAAAATAAAACCATTCAGGATCTGTCAAATACAGCAGATTTTCATGTAAACTGACACTGAATGAGTCGTTTTACTTCAGTATTTGTACATTTTTTTTAATTTTTTTAAACATAAAATTCAAAATTCATTCAAGATCCTTCAAATAAACCAGATTTTTATTTAAAATTACATGAAAAACTCATATTACACTTCAAATTATGCAAAATCAACAGTGTGCTTGCTGTTTGAAGCTGAACTATTGCTCTTAAAACAGTGTTTTGACATTTTTTACATTAAAAAATCTAGAATTATACCAAATTTATTCAAGATCCGTCAAATAGACAACATTCTGATGTAAACTTATGTGTAAAAACTCATGTTGCGCTTAATAAGATCTAATAATACCAGCAGATTCTTGCAGTTTGAAACTGAATTATTACAATTTTTCACAAGCTTTACACAAATTATATAACAAACCCAAACTAACAGCGACATTAAGGCGGATTGTTTGAATTCTGGCATCATTCTGCTGCATTTAAAGGCGATTTCATTGTTTTACGACATAAATATCCTTCATTGAAGAAAAAAAAGGCCAAAAAAAATACACATTATGGAAACTTAAGATGATAAATTGCAGGTTTTAGTTACTTTCTCCTTATTTTACTGTAGTTTGGGGTCAATATTCCTTCTTTTTTACATTATTTTTACAGTGTAGAGTTACAGGACTTGCGGTTGGATGCATGCAGCAGATGGTGTTAAGATTTGTTCATTTAAAAGGGAAATGACTTAAAAAGTAGGTCAGTGTGTATTTGCATGTATAAGATCCAGATTGACATGCATGAACGTGTGGTGGTTGTTCCTCTAATCGGGCCGCCGCCGCCTCGTGGCTGCTGCTCTGTGTGACGTTGCTGCTGCTGCGTGTCTTCCAGTGATCCCTCTGATGGAGGTCTACAACAAGAGCTTGTGTCAGCCTCGCGAGCTGCTGGTGGAGATCCTGCAGGAGTATCCGGAGGAGGTGGAGCACATCTTCATCCCGTCCTGCGTGGTGCTGACGCGCTGCGCCGGCTGCTGCAACGACGAGATGCTGCAGTGCATGCCGACGTCCAGCTACAACATAACCATGGAGGTCAGCTGCTCCCTTTGTCTCAGACGCTTCATTTTGGCCCAAATGTCACCCTGCAGAGGCTCAGGGCCTTTTCCACAAACTTGGCATGAGAAGCCTTCTGGCGAGTCCAAGCGGCTCCCAGACTGCTGAGGGGTGACCTTTGGGCGAAAAGGAACCCAACTGCTGCTTTCACAAGAGAAAACCTCGACTTCATCCTCACCTCTACACAGTAAAACCACAGACTGACAGCAGCAACATGCTGGAAAAGAAGCATCTCTGCTGCTAATTAGAGCAAATATTTTCAACTAAGGAGCAAAAATCTTGATAATAATCTTTGTTGATGGAGCAGCTTCAAACCCCCAGACTGTAAAGTTCTTCACAAAACACAATATGGTGAATAAACACCAAGACAATCTTGGAAACGGTGCATTAGATAAGATAGAACTTTATGAATCCTGAAGGAAACTCCAAAATTGCCAAGAAAAAAAGTTGCATATTCATCTAAAAGCTCTGATTATCCCTGATATAATCTAATATTAACTGTAGATTCTTCAAATTTGGAAACTGAATTATGAGTTTTACATCATTTTGGACATTTTTTTATAATATTTTCTACACAAACTTATAAAGCTTCCTTTTATCGAACCTCATTTCATTTCT